TTTTGGTTGAGTAACGTGTCGTAGAATGCAGATACGGGCATGCAAAATACACTTGTGAAAAGCTTGAAGTCTGGCGATTCTAAAAATATATACTTTCCTGGGTCTATTTATAGTCATTTAGTCACAATTAGAAGATGAAAACAAGTATGCAAATAATAGTCCCGCTACCTTAAAACAATATAAATGCGAGCATACCTCTGAAACCCATTTACATCACAAGAGGGCGCACTTGTAGAAAGTTGTGTATTACATCAGAAACTCTTTTTGAACATGGTTTTCTGTTGACGAATTTGATGAAATCACATTTTGCAGTACTTAATCAAACATTTACCTATGAGAACTATTAAGTCACAAAAAAACTATAGATGGCTGTAATACTGAGAGAGACATATCATTGCCACCCATAATTTGTCTGTACCTGAAATGTGCATGTGTGCTTTATATTTATAAATTAAAGTTGATTTTGTCTCAAGATTCATATTGGTGAAAAATGCAGCTCATGTCACTTTTAAGACTTAATGTGATTGGTATAACATTAACCGTTTCACCACCAGTCCCCTCTTTTCATCACAAATGCACAAAATAGTCCCATTTATAGTCTGCAATTTCCTTCAGAAGATTGGGACAGAATTAACCAAATTGTTTGAGTAAAAAACTGGAAATTGACTCAAATTTTGTCTTTTGGCTCCAAAATTAGGGTTCATTTCTAGAAATATTAGAGAATATAAGAAAAAATTGCAGACAAATTTGAGCAAGAAAGTCTGGTGGTGAAAAAGTTGAGTGCTCCCTTGGAGAGGAGAGGAGAGGAGAGGCATGAAAAGCACAAGCTGAAACAAACTTTTTTGCTTGAACTTTGACCAAGTGATTATCAAGATCCATCTATGTTATTTGCATTTCTATTTTCTTTTTATGCCATAGAGACCTGCTATAGATATTTAATAGATTATGACATAGTAATTATTGGGATTTGATTTTATCCAGTCTACCAGATATTAAAATTCAATGTAAGAATTTGTTATTCTCTATCGACAGGATATTGATTTTTTTTACTAGATAGTTGCCATGGCAAAAGTGTGAAATGTTATGTACATGCAGATTGATAGTATTTTTTATAAATTGTTTTTTGAATAGAGTATTGAGGTATTGTTACTATGACGATGTTTATCTGTTTTGGCTGGTCCAAATATAGTGAAATTATTCAGAACTTAAAATTTTTTTTTACAATGTCATTAGATGGAGTTTTATTTGTGCATAAACTGTAGTAACCTCATTGTATCTGAAGAATGTTTTAATCAGTGATTTTTTTGAAAATGTTTTTGAAAGTAACATTAATTGACAGAGGTATAAATAGCTGTATTTTGATGAATTAATAATTTGATTTAATCACTGCTAAAGAGTGTAAAGTATTTACTAATATGAAATCCCCCTTTCCTTTTTGTCTTATTTTGTTGACTGTCTGTACCCCTGCTTTCAGCATTAGCCTAGATTTAGCAGAAATGGTGAGGAGAATAATGTAGGCATTCAAAGTCCTGAAAAAATGGTCATTTGGAGCTTAAGGACTTGTTAGCATGGAAACAATTGTGGCTACCCCCAGATCAAAAACAGTATCAAAATATCAAGACAAACTTTGATATAGAAAAATCTCCCCAGTGCTTTTATATTTGCTGCATATTCACATTCACCCTAAGTAGATATTTGCACCAGAGACTGAGTCAATGTAATATTAACTTTGAAAATTTTCTTTTCTTTCCTGGCTGGCAGTTTGCATATTGTGTATTCACAAAGTCTCAACTATGTAACCAAACTGAACGAATCGGTAAGATTCAGCATAGTCATTACGGCTGTAACTGATTTGGTGTCTGGTACTCAATCAAATTTTCAGACCCATAATTTGTTTTTGCAAAATAGCATAGTACTATCCATTGCTGAGTTATAGCTTATAAGTACTGTAGAATACTTTATTTTCACTTGGAATTTATTTTTGCTATTTTCGCTGAAGGGATGATTCCGTGAAAATAAAATCCAGCGAATATACATTTTTTCCTATATTTCACATTAAGCTCATCAAAAATCAGTGAAAATAAATTCCATACAAAACGCTCAAAAAGCCTTTTCAGCGAAAATTAATTCCAGCGAAAATAAAGTATTCCACAGTATATACATTATATTGACTATGACGTTATCATCAGAAAATGTGTTGCCATGACAATAGGGCTCTTTACTGGGACAGCTTTCAGGTGGTTGATACTTGATAGCTTATTCAATTTGTTGCTCTTATTTATGAAATTGACACAATGTATCGATAGAATATATTTCTAATAGTAGATTCTTCTTGCCTTGGGAGAACATATATGCAATGTGCGTCACTGATTTTGATGGAGTGATATCTAAATTAGTTCTGTGAGGTGAACGAATAAAGTATGATACATACTGTTTATCTGCATTTAACAGTCATCCTTTGGTGCTGCAGGTTTCTGATTATTTCTCAAAATTTAATACTGATTATGAACTAAGAGCACTAAGAGAGCATGTGTTATTATTTATAGATTTTCAATAAGGATTTGTAATTATCAAAATCTTGATATTTTGATGCGGACTATTATGTGGAAGGTTACAAATAATGACAGTCAGTGAAAGGATTGAGATCAAAGTTCACAATGACAGTGAAAAGGTTAAGAGTGCAAGTTGACAATAGCAATGAAGGGGTTAGTAGTCTAAGTTGAAAGAGAAGTGAAATATCTAAGTTGAAGTTGACAAGGGCAGTGAAAGCATTTAAAGCGGGTCCGTCGTCGCGCTGCGCATGTCCAGAGTTTTTATTTACAAACACCTTTTGTTGCCCACAATGCACCTCGCTATTTTTTTCTAATTCAAAATGGCGGCAAACTACGATTTAGCGATGATTGAGGAAGCACTGCGAACAGTTGAAAACGTTGATGAACCAAGGTCCTGCAAATGCAAAGGTGCCTGTATGCGGAAACACGGACGTGGAGCTTGTCCTTGCAAGACATGGGACGAATTGTGCAACGATGCATGTAGTTGTGGTAAACACCGGCCATGCAT